GTGCATAAGTGTGACATTAGTCATACTAGGAAGGCCAGGCTGGTCTAGAATATCACCTGCCCTGGGGCTGCTGTAAGAAGTGAAATGCAAATACCATCTTGTCTTTGAACAACAGGAGCACAACTCTGACACCTATGCAAAAAAATGAGCACTTTCTTTCTTCCGGAAGGGGTGACTTTATCTGCTCTGGAGCAGTCCTTAGCAAAAGAAATGCATGAAATAAGATATTTTGCAGGACCAATGTGCCCTAACTCTGGTCCAGCCAGTGCCTGGATTAGCCCTGTAGCTGTTCTAAAGCAATTTTCCAACACAGGAGCCAAGCCCATGATGATGGAGGAGCAGACCATAGAGGATGAGGGCAAAAGATAAAAAAGTTCTGGACCACCACCCTCTTTGATGCCTGTGCCAGGTCCTAAATTCTCGTAATATATCCTGTAAGCAAGGAGGAAGGAGCCAGACCCTGCTTGATAGCCTGCTGTATGGTTTAACCTTGTGAAACCAACCATGTTGCTTGCTCATTTTACCACAGGTTAGTGACATTTTCCACAAAGGACCTCAACAAATTTACGCTGGTGTCAGAATAAAATATTCCAATGAATTAAAAGTGGCCACTGCATCTGATGTCTTGACTTATCCTATGACTTATTAGGGCTGGTTTGGGAGATTTTGACTTTGGTCATTATTTTACCAAAACCAAATTCAAATCCCATGAAAGATGTTTTGAAGGTGGAGTGTCTCATTTTATGTGCATGTGTATGCTACCCGTTGTTGGTTTAGACTACAAGAATGAAGCTAAGGAGGGACATGACCAAACTCTATAAGTAAAGCAGGAAAGCAAACAGAAGGGAGGAAGACAAGATAGCTAAACTAACTGGAAAAGTTGTCACAAGGACAAATGCTTGTAAACTGGCCATAAAGACATGCAGACTGGAAATGAGGAGAAGGCTGTCAACATAAGAGTTGTGAAGCCCTGGAACAGCCAGAGTGGGAAGTGGTGTGGGAAGGAACAAACTGATGGGTGTGAAGATATAAATTGATGCATCTATGTTCTTAAATAATGAATAAATAATGCTGGCTGTAGGGACTAAGTATCAGCCGTCTCTTTTCTCTCAACAAGACAAACTCTGGGGACTCAAGCAAAGTTTCATTTTTTATTTTTTTTTAAATTTTCAACACTTTCACTCCTCCAGAGAATAAATAAATAAATGCATCCATAAATAATAAATATGAGATGGAGAAAAACAACAACAATAACAAACAAACCAAAAATGAAAGCATCTAGAAAAACTAGAGGATGAACCATCTTCTATCCTCAGAAGAGCTCAATTGCACAGAAAGCCCACCGTGCACAAAGACGACACGTCCCTGAATCCCTGACTGAATATTTTATCTGTCCTTATAACTAGAAACTAAGTACATTTAACAAGATATATAGTGTACACAGATCAAAAACATTAATATGTGAGAAACATGAGAAATACTTGGTTCAGTTGGGAAAACAGTAAGAAATTTAGATTATTTTTGTTTCCTTTTTTTTTTCTTTTTCTATTTTTTCCCCCAAAGAAAGTCCTCAAAGAGAAAATCAGGCAAGTTCCACAAAAAGCAATGTTCTTAGAAGAAGACTGACCCACTTATGTTTATTTTTAATAGACCTGGAAGACCTGTGAAATTTAAAAAAGTAGAAAAGTAAAAGCAAATAACACAACCTCAGTTTACTCTGTAAATGGTGTAACGAGATGAATACTGGAACAGTGCTGTCATTTAGGAAATATAATGTTGAAAAACTTAATAGCGTGTGGAAAAGATAAGCAAATTTTATTTTAAAGCTGAAGAAAAAGCTTTAAGGAGACAGATTCAATGTGCTAAATCAAATGGTTAGGATAGCTCTCTGTTTTGGAAAAAAAGCAGAACAGCTTAAGGTATGTGCAAGGCAGTATGGCAGGATGCTGTGCCACACTTGGGATTAGTGTCTCTGGATCTGTGTTCAGGCTCCACTTTCTCACTTTGCTTACTTATAACACTCAGTCTGGTGAGGACTGTGAGTACTGCTTTGCTCTAAATAGCAATGACCTTATCCTGCTTACTGCAGCATCTTCATGCTGCCTGTATCTTGAATGGTTTCTGTCCTTTGTAAAGACACTGATGCTGACAATTTACTATCATGTTTACACTTCAGAGCATAAACATAACAAGAGTAATGAGTTGTCAGAAATATGGAGAACTGCCCGTCCTGATGCTGGCCCAAACTGCCTTTTTTCTTCTTCTAGTAATGGGGATGTAGAGCACCTCTTTGCTAGCTCTTCTGGTGGAAGAACTCTCTTCCCTCTCTTCCGAAGATTTTCTTCCCTTAGCAGCAAGCAAAGAGAAGAGATCCCATTTCAAGGAAAAAATGAAGTGTCTTCTGTCTGCACTAAGTGTAGCAGTACAACTATTGCTGTCCAGGAATAGCTGAGAAGTGGAAAGAAAAGGGCCATAAAGTGCCTAATTAAAGATGGGGGGGGGAGAAGCCAGGGCTTCCAGATCCTATCGCCAGCTCCCTGTTGATTCCTCCTGTGAGCAAGACAATACCTGGAACAAAACCAATGTCCAAATGCGAAGAAATCTTCTTTCAAAGGCAGTACCAGAAGGGAAGGTGAGCACTTTTCAATCTTCACCTTTCACATCTTTGTTTCAATCCCAAAATTGCTGCTGATTTTGTAGAGGAAGCCCCTTTACACGTTGTGCACAAGACACCAGTGAGAAGGAAAAAAAAATCAAGCAGAAGCTATAAGTGAAACCCTGCCACATCTATTGTCATTTCATGGGATGCTAACCAAAGAAGAGACTTCACAAAGCTATTAATTTGCTCAATTATGCCTGATAGATGTTAGTTCTTTCGCTCTTGAGAATCCATCTCTTGCCTTAAAGCTTGTCAACGAGTCCCTGAGTGACACTACAACCTTCACTGGCAACGGATCTCAGGGCTTCATTATGGAAGATTTTTATATTGTTCAATGATTTGTGTGCATCAGTAGGTGCAATACACTCACAAATCTACATGCACAGACAAGAGGAAGAAAGACAAGGAGACAGTTTGGTTGCTTTGCATTTTCTCCATCAGAGTAAACAAATGTGTTGTTTAATCTTAATAAAAAGAGAGGTTTAGTAACACAGTCTGTTTTCAGTGACTCAGACCAACCACATCTAAAATGCTCATTAGCTGTTGTATTACATGACAAATTGTCTACCTGCTGCGATACTTCACTTTATGAAAAACTCTTCACACTAACTATGCCCACAAAAACAATTTAGGGTTAAAAAATACCATTACAGTTAAATAATAACAGGGGAAAGGAGAAATTAACAGGCAGAAGCCAGGGAGAGATGAGCTGTTTTCAGCTGATGTTTGAAATGAGTCAGAACAAATGCAGCACAAGGATAAAGTCAGAGCTGTAGGGAAGACTCACCGACAGCAGAAATACTCCAGGAAATGACTGCTAATAATGAAAGAGAGAGAGAGTGGAATATTGTGGCTGAGGCTGGTCTCCCTTTATGGTGGGTTTTATAACACAGAGGGGCAATTTTAAAGTGGATGGTGTAATGAATGAGGGAGTTAGGAGGAAATGTTTAAGGCTGAGGAGGGGGTGGGCTCTGTCTTTTAAATATGTAGAAAGTAGCAATAGCATCTGTGCTTATGCCTGATGAACTGGAAAAGGAAAAGATGGAGATAGCAATAATGAAGACCAGAGGAGAACTAATTAAATTCAATTTATTATTATTACTCTCTATTTTGCTGTGTTCCACACTGATTCTTATGTATCTATTTCATAAGTCTGCTTGCTCTTCCTGCTGTGCTGTTCTGTACATGGCTAAGCTGCATTGACAAGGATTTTTGCCTGCATCTGGAGTTTCTGGGATTCGCCAGGTAAAGTCACTTTGTTTTGGGGTAATATTCAGGCTGTAGGTTGATCGTTAATTTGTTCATTCAAAAGTTTGAGAGTTAGCCCACAGGATACTGTCTAGTTCCTAAATTATCACAGAAACCAGAAGTAACCAATATTTAAAATCTCTAGGTGGGGCACACCACTAATAAAGATGAGTTTGCATTGGAGAGGAGGGGGAGGATAGTTGACATGTGATCTCACATTGCTAGAGATCACACCCTGCCTGTAGTCTGAAAGGGATCCCAGAAGTTTCCCACCAGTCCTTATGATCTGAAATCAGTGAGTTGCTGGAGTATTTCAGAGCAAACAGCAAGGGCTCACGAGCAGGAACTGCCTACCACTGGGGAAAGCCTTCTAATCTATGCAGTAATACCGAAATTGGAAGGAAAATATGGTGAACCATAAATTCACACAGAAAGATAATACGCCTTGACAGTTCATGGGCATACTTAGCTTTTGTTTCTTTTTTCTTTTTTTAATTCTATTAAGCTAAATTGTTATAGGAGAGAGATTCCAGAGGAATCAATAAAACTGCTCCAATTTATCCAACCTAAGGTTTGGGCTGACTTTCTGTTATGACCTACCATCATATTTCCACTTCACTACCCTTTATTACTTGATTCATTCCCTGTAGGCACTGAGACAGAAAGAGTTCTTAAAGATGGAGGTGAATGTGATATATGCAGCGAGCTGCTCTACTAGTTCACAAAAGGGATGGGATTCATTTCATCTCACTTTGAGGTCCTGATACAGCTGTCCCACCTGAGCTCCTTGTCTGGATTCCCATTGAAGATGCTGGAGGTATAGTAAATATAGTCAATGGTGTTCTGAGTGTGAGTCATCTGACCAAATGTAGATGCTTATTTTGGGATGTGAAATCACGCCCCAAGCTCCATTGACTCTGCTGACTCACTCTGCATTGACTACAAATGGAGTCTAGGGCAACTTGCCCAGATGCAGACACCCACATGGCAGACATCCGCAGCTAATCAGATGAATCCCACCAAATGGGCTCCAGGTGAAGACCATGACCTTCAAGACATTAGGTGAAAGGGAATTGAGAGCGGTGGGACAGAGGGATGAGGATGGTCATACTACAGGGAGCAGGTTGTGGGATAGGGAGAAGCCGTCTCTTGGCTTGGGGATGGAAAGGAGGGGACAGGAAAGATTTAGCTGTTAAGTATTTTCTCAACATGCTGATCATTATGAGTCTGGTTTTCAGAAATGCTGAGCAGCCACGACGCCCACTGAAGACAATGGGAGCTCAGCACTTCCGAAAATCATAGACTTGCTTCTTAGCATTGAATGTAATCTATATTATTTAAAGGAATAAATGGGGCTTGGGGGGCGGGCATGCAAACAAGTGAATGAGCTTCCTTTTCAGATGCTTTGCATAGCCCTTTCTATCATTATTATTGCTGTTTCCAGACATTATGCGCAAGGCAAAACTACAGCTGGAGCATTACATGGAAATTAAGACTGCAGAAGGTTAGGAAACTCTGACTGCTGTATTCCCTGGGGCTGATCCAAAGCCTAGTAAAGTCTGCAGGAAGAAGCCCCCAGAGTGATGGTCAGAAGATGTTTTATCTGGCTGCAAAGCAAGTGTAAGAGGTTCCCAGAGGTCCATCTCTGCCATGACACTTAACGAAATTATTCTCTCCTCAGGATGAAGCTGTGTAACTTGGTTGAGCAGATGCAAAAAAATACATCACTTTGGAAAGAGGAGTCTCACTCCTAAACCCTAGTCCTTCCTTAACCAACCAATGTGCTCTCATGTGCCAGGTCTACTGCTGGGTTGTCTTTTCTAAGAGCTATCTGAAGTCACTAGTGCTGAAGAAAATGTAAATTATTTCTTGATTTTTATTTCTCTGCTAGGTTAGTGAGCTGAATATCCTCATTGCAGCACTTGGTAAACACCTGAGCCTTCACAGAAGAGGAGGAATTATGAGATTTGGGAAAATGTTACGTCTCCTTGAGGCACCTGGTAGATTCACCCCACCGTGCTTTGGAAGGATTCACCTACACGTGCTTTGGAATAATTTATGAAATTACACAAGGGCAGCGAGGATTTTTTTTTGTTGTTCATTTATTTGTTTAAAATCATCTGTATTGCTTCACTGGTATGGTTTGCTGTGTGACACCATGAGCAATTGCAGCCACACAATAGAGATGAGGCCACTTTGTCACTCCCTTGTTTATTGCTATGGGTTGTGGAAGAAGCATTACAGAGGAGTCCCAGTGAAGCCCTCTGTATCCCAAAGAGAGTCAAGAGGCAGTGACTCATGCATTTCAGCTTTTAGAAGGAAAATAAAGTTTTTATAAATCAGAAGTAAAATACTGAAAAAAGGAGAATTAATACAGAAAGATGGAGAGAAGGACGAAGTATCCTGGAAAAGTTTTGCTTCTCTTGGCAAAGACGATAACCTGCAACTAGATGCTGACTGAGTTTATCTTAAAACTGAAGACTGGATTGAAGTTGATTCACAGGAAGAATGGTTTTAAAGTATTTTGTGATGGCAGAGACATTTGATTCAGTTGGGCCTTGAAGATTTTGCAGGAAACTAGCTGAAGCAAACTGAGTCATTACTGATTATCTTCAAGAGCTTGTGGAGGATTCAGAAGTACCAGAGGGCTGAAGAGGGACAAATATAGAACCCGCCTATGGAAAACAGAGTTGGCGGCTGGGAAATTACAGACTAGTCGGCCTAACTTCAACTTGTGGGCAGATGCTAGAAGAAATTATTAAGCAGCTATTTGAAAATATCCAGGAGGTAATGATCTTCCTAAAGAGAAATAAATAAAATGAATACGTAATACAGAAAGAGGAAATAATTCAAAAGTAATCAAGTTTAATTTCTAACTTACTGAGAGGCCAGGTGAGAAAGGAGGTAAGAGAAGATGCTATAAAACTGATGCTAGAAAAAGGTTTTTTCCACAGTGAGGTTATGAAGGTCTAATTCCAATTAAGATAGGACTGATTGGAAAATCACTTTTGAAGAGTAATTGTCAAAGGCTTCTTAGTGTCTGACTAAAAGAGGATCTTAAATGATATCTATCAGTGATGTTTCTTAAGTCCAATTCCATTCAAAATGCAAGCACTGACTTGTTTTAATAATAAGAAAAAAAAAAGTATGCCTAAATGCTTGTGAATGATAGCACGCTTGAGTAAATGTAAAAGCATCTAAATGTACAGGAATCTAAAATGATCTTGAAACGAAATTTGGAGAGATGTGTGAAATTGGGAGGAAGAAATTTAATATAGAATCATGCAGTTTTCTATGCCCTCAATGAAGAAGTTAAATGCACAAATACAAGCTTGTTTGACTGCTTGTCAAGATATTAGAAAAGAATCTGATGCTGAAAGGGAACCTCAAGCTCCTTACAAATCAATGATGTAATGTTGTACAAGAAAAATAAATCTTATTTTGGAATGTTTTGATGGAAATATTATCAGTAACTCAGAACAGATTTTTCAAGCAAACTCACTGTTGATGAAGTAAAGTGATACATTCATTTTTGGCATTGCACTTTAAAAACTGTAGATATAAACTAGGAGTAGTCTGGGGAGAGATATAACAATGACAAAAATCTTTGAGCACTTGATCTATCAGGAAAGGTTGGATAAATAACCCTCTTATCCCATTATGGCCATTGCAACCACTTCTCCAACTCTCAACTTTTCACGTTCCTGACTTCTCAGAAGAAGACCTACCTCAGAATGCCCAGGCAAAATTCCTTCTTCTTGTGTGCTGAAAATGTCAGGTGAGCACAGAGAATTAGTAAATGCTGACGATGTCTCATTTAATTGTGGACCTCCTTTGCTTCATTCTGTTACTACTTTATAGGATGAGCATCCCTTCTGCCAGCTGCTACCCTAATTTCCATGCACTCTTCCATGCTGCTCATTAGGCCTCCCTTGAGTAAAAAGCCACTCACACCTTTCAACCTCAGCAATCAACCTTAAGCATCTTAGCTGGACCTTCACCAAGACTCTGTCACAGCCAAAAAAGAAGAATTATTGCTCCAGTAGGTCATTTGATACCACAAAGATTTGAGCCCTAATTTACATGCCTCAAACTAAATGTGTGAAGTCAACTGCTGTTAGTTCTCCCTGAAGTGTCCTTCACTAGCTCATCCACAAAGGCCTTCCTCCTACAGAAGAAAACCTTAAAAAAACCTTCATTGTTGCAAGAAGATGCTTGCAAGAAGTCTAGGACATAATGTCACACAAATCAATGTGTTTTCCAATTCCCATAGCAAAAATGTTTAATATAAAATACTTTTCTGCCCTAGTATCCATGCAACAGCATTTTTATTTAAATAATAGGAGCTCTTCCTGACAAGAAGCTTTTGAAAAATGGCACTTTGGAAATGAAATGGAAACATATAATAAGCAATGTGTTTTAGAAATTTCAGTTTCTTCCTTATCTTCAACATTCCTGTCAGAGAATGGTTTTAGTTGGAAGGAACATTGAAGATCATCTAATTCCAACCCATACCTTCCACTAGATCAGGAATTGTCCATTTTGGACATAAGCTACTTTCTGTTTCCATTCTTTCTCTCTATCGAAGCTTATTTTCATTCACCGTAATGGAATTTAGGAGACTCAACATATTTTTCTAACAGTTTCAAAATAACCACTCCAAATTATTGGAAACTTAAAGTCATTAGCAAACCCTTCAAGATAATCTCCTGCATACTCATCATGACCTACTCTAATTCATAAATATTGTCTCCAAAAGTGTCACACACATTTTATATATATATATATATATTTCCTACCCAAATTGTTTGCTAAATAGAACTGAAAGACATGAAAAGTGTGTAAGCATCTATTTCATCTTTTTTTTTTTTTTTTCTCCTCAGCAAGAAATATAGCCTTCTGGACATGGAGAAGTCAGGTTTCCACTCCCAGCTCTGCAAAAAAAATTTACCGTGCGTTCACTTGGGTAACTCAATTATTGTCTCTACTTATTTCCTACTATGTAAATTACAAGGAATATGAATTTCAAAATCTCATCAAGAGTGGAAAGTTCTCCATGGTAAAAGAATTATTTCCACACTGACAATACTCTCTATTCAGTTTTGCTTTTAAACCATTATCTACTGAATGAGAAGGCCACTGAAATAAATAATTCTTCCCTGAGCAGCGAAATTTGTTCCAGAATATAAGAAGTGGAAAACATTTTTTGATTCTGTAATCAACTTGTGGCCCTACAAGAAACTGAAGAGTTCTATATCCTTGTCTAGGAACCTAAATCGTAACTGAATCACATTTTTATATCAAATTGCTAGTTGGAACCCTTTGCCTGAAAAGGACTGATTTTCCATGCCTCTCTTTTCTGCACAGTTTTGTCAGTGAAATTCCTCAGGTATTTTGAAAACAGGAATGAATATTAATCAGAGTATAGAAAATGAAGCAAATTAGTCTGCAGAGCTCTAAAGCATATCACGAAAACCTCTGACTAGTAATAGTAGGACAATAAAGAGGGATTTTCAAGATATAATAAAAGGAAAATGCATCTTAAACTAAATTCAAATATTGCAAGTAAAATTGGAAGAGTAGCAATAATACAGCTAAAAAAAAAAAGGGAGAGCATGCAATACAATTTTTGTTCATTCTTTGGGAAGAATCCAGATGATGTAGTCAGATCATAAAAGGGATGACCCAGGTAATTACAGGCTTGCCACTCTAACATTGATCTTAGTCAAAATAATAGAGTAACTGATATAGGACTCCATTAATAAAGAATTAAAGAAAATTAATATAAATCAATGCCAGTCATTACCGGTTTTTGGAAAAACAGATCTTTGAATGTGATGTCCCTTTTGTTGAGGACACAGTACTATGTTGTGTGGTGAGGCTAATCTGTATTATTATAAAATGAATGTCTGAACTGGTGCAACGTGCATATGATAGGAATCAAAGGCTGCCCAAACACAGCAGTCTCAGGTTGTTCAAGTAACTAGGGAAATACTCCGAAAGAGAGAGAGTCTGTATGTTTTCTACAGACGTATTTCCCCCATTGGGTATTTCTGTTAGTAAGATACAAATCTATCCTGTTGGACTTGACTCCTTGCAAGATCCCTCTTACAGAAGGTTCAGGAGATCTCTACAAGATGAAAGTATTCAACAGGGCCAAATGGAAACCCACACAAATGAATACAAAATTCAGGCCATACCAATAAGATGGGTAAAGATGGTGATTTTTGCCTGGGTGACTCTATAAATGCTTAGGGGTCAGAATGAATGATCAGGTCAACAGGAGCTGCCATAAGGACATGAAGGCTGGAATGTAAGATGCTGAAGTAGGAATGAAAATATTTTGATAGTAGCATTTGTTATTTCAGTGCTGAGATCCACAGATCCACATCCAAACCATGAAAAGTTTTGACAAACAGGAAGGAGTACAGAAAAACTCTGCAGTGTAACTGCAAGACAGAGGTTGAAAGAAAGAAACAAAAGGGGAAGGGGAAAGGAGAAAGGGAAAAAGGAAAAGATGAAAAAGCAAGCAAGCATACAACCAACCAACCATAAAAAAAAAAAAAAAAGACCAACACATCTGGTCTCTTAGGGCAGGTTCTGGAAATTTGGAAGTTGCATCAATTTTCCTCATCAAAGAGAAACTGAGGTCTGCTTTGGCCCCAGGACACAGCTGCTTGGGGAACCTGACTTTGTTAATAAGGCCTTTGATTGAGCATGTAAGTGAAAAGTAAAATCCCATGGTTGAACCCTGAGATGGATAACTTCACATTTCAAATCTAATGTGAATGTTGAGCACTGAAGGGAGCAACAGGATGAAAGTTGTGGTCGGCCCTTTCGTGATTAAAGATTCAAAATTGCAATTCCTCCCTCTACCTCTTCTTCTGAAGTAAATTAGTTCAAGAGAAACCTGATCTGGGTGAAATCCACTGGCTGATGTCCAGTTGACGTGATCACAGCAGTTACTGCTGCTTTCATCATTTCTGATACTATAATTGAATCCAGTCAGTGATAAAAGCTTACCAGGTACTTCGGCATGTTGCAGTATGCTTGCATGGCATGACATCTGTTGGCTGGGTGCACAGCACAGTTTTCTTAGTATAAAAAAGTAAAATACAGGGGGGAGCACAGCACAGACCTTCCCAGGCTGTATTTGCCTCACATTGATGTGCATTTTTCATCCCATAAATTTGTTATGGCTCCAGCTCCCAAGCTTGAGTGAACATTCATTTTTCTTCCTTTACATATATATTCAAACAAAGCTGAGCTGTGGGCTGGCAGTAAAGAAATGAGACTCACATTATTGGCTTTGCATTAGGTTTGTTTATAAAAGACAAGGCATATTAATCATAGATATCTACACTGGGAGAAGCATGCAGCAATGCAGGAAATGTATTCGTTACAAAAAGCAGGATGTCAAGCAGACTAGGAGGTGCCATGGATTGATGCACTGGCTTCTCACTCATAAAGAAAGCTAAACAAGATTTTCCTCTAGCTCAGACAGAAAGCACAAATTAACCCTTTCAATTTCTGGGTCCCCAAGGAGCAGTACAAAGCAGGCTTTTTTTTGTCTAGTTGCCAATTAGTTGAGACTTTGCACTGGAGTGATAGCTCGTAGGTGATGTTTTAATAAAGGGTTGCAAAAAAATATGGTCCGTGTTATACTCCCAGAGAACATACTTGCACCATGTGGATGGGATAATCAACAACTGAAGGCTGGATGGTCTGGGTGCTGTGAATTTGAAGGCTAATTCTGCCTTGACTTTTAATTCCATGCAAAGAGTTGGTGATACTCCACAGGAAGTAGACTAGCAGGGAATCCATCCTTAAGGCAGAATTTTCCCTTAAAACCCAAGTAAGGAAGCATTATTCTATTACACATATAAGCGCTTAGGCACAATTACTGGGGGAAAATAAAGTGTTTTGATACGGACCCACAATTATTAATTCAGTGCTATTAAAGTACCACACATGTTGTGCAACTACAAATTGGAGGAAGGAAAGGGATGATGCCCCAAGGAACTCTGCTTTCTAAAAGCATTGGCCGCTGGGGGAAAGTTCCATTTGTAACAAGAGCTTTAGAAAAGCTATGTGGGAAACCACAATATAATGCAGTCCCAAAGAACAGAAATTTGATCAAGGGTAATTTAAAGTGACTTGGTCCTAAATTGCTTCTCCTCCAGTTTCTTTCTAGAACTCTGGCCAAGACCAGGCTACCACCTTGTTGCGCAGACACCTCTTAGTGAATGTGTGTGCTATCAAGGGTCGCCTCAAAGACATGGCAGGCAGTCACAGTTGCAATGCTAAAACAGGATATCTTTTCACAAGGCTGTCATGCTACCATGTGGTGCTGTGACATGGTGACATACTGTAAACCCCGGTTATCTGTTTAGTGTTGCATGACTGAGAAAAATAGGATTGACATAAACTCAAGGGAAAACTGGGCTCATTTTGGTTTTATGTGTTCAGGTACATTTAGTGACACTGAAGTGGTTGAGAAACAGCTGTTGATAGAAGAAATACTTAACACAAAGAATGGCTGCATAACTATCTTTCACAGAGGTGATCTTGGGAATTCAGCCACAGGGTATTTTTTGCCGTGTTAAGGAGGATGCCCCAGGCTGACAAAACCTGACGTCCAAAGAAAGGGAATTCAGAAGAGAGCAAGACGTATAAGACATTTTTACTGGAGGTGAAGAAAAAACATTTTTATGATGGTAAATGAATCACCCTGCACAGAAGAAAATAGAGGAGACCTCCATCTTAGTCTCTGCATAATAATTTTTAAACAGCACAAGATGCAGACTGCTAGTTGTCTGTGGCACTCAGAAGTTGAGGGATGCCAAGGAGAAATGGTTTTGCGGTGGAGGAGAGAGGTGGCATACAATAAATGAGCAAGGAGCTTTCGTTTTCCAGAGAAAAAAAAGAAAAAGAAAAAAAAAAACCTTATGCAGTCCATATAGGAATCAGTGACCAGAAGCACGTGAATATCTTTTTCTTTCTCCCCCCCTTTTTTTTTTCCTCCCTCAGAACAACCAAGATTTTGATTTTGCCATCCTTCTGAAGTCCTCTGGAGGATTTTTCTCTCCCTGTCTTTACTGAAAGAACTATACTTACAGAAGATGGAGCTTTGAAAGTCATATACAATCAAAGAGTATTCCCTTGGGTATGACATGGAATCAAAAAAAAAAAAAGGACAGGGGGTTGGAAAAGCAAAGTAACTTAATTTTCAAAAATAAGACATGGAGTCCTGCAGAAAACCCCATTGTCCTCTGTTTTGCTATTAAGCTTCCTCGGGAGAGTAACATTTCACAAATTTAACATAGCAGCCCTATGCTAGGGCTTTTAGCCTAGTTCTAGCCTAGATTAATCTTTCTCTAGCATCTGTTCTGTAACATAAGCAGAGCAGTGAAGATGGTCCACAGGGCAGGAAAACAAATGCCAAGGTCCTGCCCATTGATAAATACACCTTGACCATCTTCACTTAGTGCTCACATGATGGGAAAGATAAGATAGAGTTTGTTACCTATTTATGTGTTGCCTTCTCAGGCAGGTCAGCTTCTCATACACAGCAATGATGCCATAGATGCCACCTTAGATGCCATAACACACAACCTCCATCTCTAACAGTGGCCTGTCTCTTCCCAAATTGAGGTGGGAAGCAATGTTTCCCCTCAAAAACAACATCAATCTAGAACTTTCTCAACCCAAAGACCCAACTAAAGAAGCAATATAGCACCCATGGTGC